AAATGAAAATTAAAAATTAAATTACATGAATGGTCGAGTTGTTCATACAACTCGGCGAGTCGGATGCAGATAGCCTGAGTTCTAGAATCGAAAGCGAACTCGTCGAGTTGATGCCATACTCGACGAGTAGCAGCGAACAGGGTTGAGAAGTGAGAGTAGGGACTCGGCGAGTTGGCGGCCCAACTCGACGAGTCAGGTTAACTGTAAGTTGACTTTGACCGGGAGAGTTGACTTTAGCCAGGGGTAAAAGAGTCATTTTACCCCAATGCAGTTATTAGTATTTGATTGAGTGTGTTTGTGGAATTGTAGCCGGGGAGATACCTGAGCAGCAGCAGATAGCTTCCAGAGCCATACACACAACAGCCAGTTCTGGACTTCGGTCCGATGCAGTTAGTTCCGGACTTCGGTCCGATGCAGTTAGTTCTGGATTTCCGTCCGATGCAGGAGGCAAGGCCTCAGTAGTTTCGGACTTCGGTCCGATGCAGAGGGCAAGGCCCTCGTTAGTTCCGGACTTCGGTCCGATGTAGTTTCCGGACTTCGGTCCGATGCAGAGGGCAAGGCCCTGGTTAGTTCCAGACTTTGGTTCAATGCAGTTTCCGGACTTCGGTCTGATGTAGTGGGAAAGGCCAGTAGTTGTTTTATATTTGTATGGTATGTGGTAATTTGGGGGAGCTCACTAAGCTTCGTGCTTACAGTTTCAGTTTTGGTTTCAGGTACTTCCACAAGTAAAGGGAAGAGCTCGGGATAATGGCATCGCACACACCACAACTTCAGTTTTTGTCCTGGGAGATTGTTTTGATACTTAGTTTGATTTGATACAGTTGTATCACGACATTTTATTATGGTTTGAGATATTTGACGTATGGATTTATTATATGACGTTCAACATATGATTTTATTATATATATAAAAAAAAAATTGAGTTGTATTTTGGGATGTTACACCACTCACTCAAACAACATCAAAGTTACTTGAGAGAAATAGGGAAGCTTCAGTCCAATATAGAGCTAAATGGAATGGGACTGCAAAGTATGAAGTTTATGGTCCTTGGCATGACTAGTATGTGGTTAACATGACAAATATGCCATGTACATGTAGAAGGTGGGAATTGAATGGGATTCCATGCAGACATGCCATAACTACAATACATGAAATGGTTGATAGTGGAGACAAAGTTGGGGAGCTTTACACTTATTTCAACAAAGTGTATTGGCTTCGAACATGGAATGAAGCTTACTTTTACATTGTGGACCCTGTAAAGGGCAGAGCCATGTGGCCAAAAAGTACATATCCATTTCAATTAACACCACCACCACATCACAATCAACCTGGGAGACCTAAGACCAAGAGAAAGAGAATTGCAGATGAAAAATATGATAAACAGATGCAAAATCATGGTACATGTGAACCTGAAAAACTTACCAGAAAGTTTGTTAGTGTCAGGTGTGGGAAATGCAACAATAGGGGTCATAACTCAAGGACATGTAAGGGTCAAGGTGGGAATGCAGGAAGCAATGAAGGAGGGAATGCATGATGCAGTCAAGAAGGAAATGGAAGTAGCAATCAATGCAGGAATTAGTGTATTTTGTTTAAAAACTTATCTTTTGGTTTAGCACAACTTTTGTACATTTAGATGTAATGGTTTAAAACTAGTTTGTTGTAATGGTTTTATTTTGGTCTTTTAGCCCTTTTGGTCATGAAACTAATGTCAACCTTTTGTAATTGTTGAAGAATGATGTTTATGGTTTATACCAACTTTGTTGTCATGTTTATGGAACACATTTATGGTTATAACAACTTTTTTCTGAAACAACAAATAAACATTAATATTAGGTGATAAGTGCAATACATTTTCATTACATCCTTGAAAAGGGTATAAATTTCTGAAGTTGTCCAAAATAATGCTAAACTAATGTTACATTATCAAATACCAAAAACTACCACATTCCCTTGTTACAATTTCATAACACAAAAAACACCCAAAATTACATGCAACTACAAGGGTCCCTAATTCCTTATTACTAAATGAAAAGCACCCAAACCACCACAAATAGTAACCAACTCGCAAACAAACACATCTTCAATCTTGCCACTTGATAGTTTGCATTATTGATATTCCTCAATAATTCGGGTATTATCAGCATAGATCTTGCACACATTGGAGGATCAATCCATCTTTAGAATCTGCATCGGGAACCCTTCACGTAAAAAAATAAACCCTAAACATGAGGATGATTTTCCAAAATGAGGGTAAAATAGCAAAATCGAACACTTACCTTTTGAGGGCAGGAAAGAAACCTCCGACTAGGGTTTGCTGATGTCCAGGAGGTGCGAACCACCACGTCCCTACCACAGAAACACATCACCATTTTAATTTTTGATCTCTAAGAAATTGTGAACCTAGAGTAGGAAGAGTATGAAGCTCGTGAAGTTGAAGATGGAAGAGTGATGTAGCTCTGCTTTTATTTTGAAAATGGTTGCAAAAAAGGTCCCTGTAAGTGGAAAGACGAAAATACCCCCATCTTTATTGCAGGTAACGGAGCATATGGATGGAAGTTAGTGGGAGGGGCCAAAAACAATGGAAAATCCAACTTTGGACCAGTGGTGCATCAAAGTATCGTTTTGGACCAAAGTTGCATAATTTTGCCAAACACAGAGACCATTTTTGCAATTTTGTCAACCATATTTAAGTAAGTTTGAATATTTTGAAATAAGCAAATGTTACGAATTCATAGTTAATTTTAACAAATTTGTAGTTAACTCTAAGTATTTAAAAAAAGTTACACCGATAAATCGCAGATGGGATGTGAAGCATATAGAGAACATCCATCTGCGATTTGATGAAATTTTCAAAAAAAAAAGAAAGAAAAAAAACCTTTTTTATAGCATGGAGCTGGAGCAAATAACATAGAGGAGGGACTCACCAAATCGTAGATAGACACCCCCAAATTAAGCCTGAAAATTGGGTTGGGTTCGGGTTGGCTGGTCAGAATATATTGATTCAACACAAACCATATAATTTATTAGGGGTGAGCAAACCCAAACCAAGAAACTGAGAAACCGACTAAAACCAACGAAACCGAAACCGAAGCAAAACCAATGGTTCGGGTTTGAATTTTTTAAAAACCGAAAAGTCAGGTTCGGTTTCGGTTTTTACTTAGAAATCGACCCATTCAACCCGAGAAACCGACCCATACTTAAAACCGACAAACCGAACCAAGAAACCGACCCATCCAACCCAAGAAACCGACCCATACTTGATTGTTTTTTGGTTGTAATAGATTATTTCGGGCTTTGGTTGTAACTTGTAATAGACTATTTGTTGTAAGACTCATGTTTTTTGAAGTATTTAACTTAAATTTGGTGTTTTTTGAAATATTTAACTTGTTGCTTCATTAATGGAAAATGAGGTAAAACCCAAAACCCGTGAAGGTATGGGTTGAACCCAAGAAACCGAAAAACCGCCCAAACCGACCTTGGAACCCGAGAAACCGAATCGACCAGAAACCGATCCTATTGAGTTCTGAAACCAGAAACCGACCACTTATGGGTTGGGTTGGGTTTGGGTCCAAAACCAACCCAAACCGACCCATGCACAACCCTATAATTTATTGGTTGGCGAATAGGCGTGTCACAGGTTGGCGGGTTGCAAACATCAACCCAACCCAACCCATATAACTCGTATAAGTATATGGGTTCGTGGGTTTATGGGTCGGTGGGTCGAACCCAACCCATATAACCCATTTAATAAACAATACATTTTAAAATAAAATTTAAAAATAAAAATAAAATGAAGTCATAAAGTCTTAAATATTCAACATAAAGTCATAAATAAGAGAGACAACGACGAGTGGTGTGCGATAGCTGGAGGACGAGAAGACGAATGGTGTACACTGCGACAGTCGATGACTCGATGTCTTAATCGATGGTGATGGGAGACACGGAGTTGCGATTTGGAGACTGAAGATTGAATTTCTTTTTGATTAGGGGCTTCTTAGGGGTTAGCCACGCTAAGTCGACTCAAAAAAAGTTTTGCATTTTTGAAATCGGAAAACGAGTAAACGATAATCAACTATTCAAAACTAATAAATAATTAAAGATTTGTACAAAATGTTTTGTAATTTTCACGTGAAATAAACGGGTTGGCGGGTCAAAAATCTTAACCCAAACCCGTTTATTTTTGTGTTGGGTCGGTATCGGGTTACGGGTTGTATCGAAGGTTGCCACCCCTACCACAAATTGGAGATGGCTAAACAAAATCATAGATACACCGTCTACGATTTTGGTGGTTATTTTGTGTAATTTTCTTTTTTATTTGCTATTTTTTACAAAATTATTAACGTTTTTACTAAATTAGCAGATTTCTCTTTTTAAAAAATAGGAGAATTTCATATATGCCCTTCTTAAACATCAAAATATCATATTTACCCAACTTAATTTCTAAATATCATATTTACCCTTCATAAAATTTCTAAATATCATATTTACCATTCATAAAATTTCAAAATATCATATATGTCCTTTTTAAACATCATAATATCATATATATATGCCCTTTTTAAATATCAAAATATTGTATATGCACTTTTTAAACATCAAAATATCAATGATAATATCTAAAATATCCTTCATCTACAACATAATCAACACAAAAAACTAAACAATCAAAATATACATTCCATAAAGAGGGTTGAAGATAAATATTTTTGTTTGTCAAGAGGGGGACATTCCAATAATTTAGAAGTTCACATTCCATTATCATAGAACTAAGGATAATATCATTAAATTTTTTAATTATTATAGTAGTTTTAAGTTATAAAAAATGATTATAAAATATTAAAAACATTATAAAAACGGATTTGAGCAAATATAATATTTTGAAGGTTTATGAAGGGTAAATATGATATTAAAAAATTAAGCCGGACAAATATGATATTTTGAGGTTTAAGACGTATGTATATATATATATATAAGAAACTCTCCTACTTACCTAAAAACATCAAAAGCATACTCTCAGAAAATAGTCAAAGATATTTGTCTTATAATCACAGAAAAGTAGTTTTCCTTAATACTCCGAAGATCTGACACGAGCTTCGTTTCCTGATAGATAAACATGGCGCTGAAAGTATATGGTAATCGAATGTCCGAACCAACTCGTGCAGTTCTCATCTTCTGCAAGTAACTTCTTTTCTTTCCCCTTTTCGCTGATTTAGTAAATTAACTTGTATTTACAAATGCCCTTTCTTTCGTCTTCCATCTATAATTTTCGGATCCAATAGTTAAATACGCACCATTTTGTTCTTGCTCTGTGAGTGAGTACACGTATTGAAGCAATTAGGTTATTGTGGTAACCCTTTTGTATCAATTTGTGCAAATTGAATTAGGTTTTGTCAATGAATGGTTGTAAATACTATGTTCTATGCCTTTGCTTCGTTAGTTTCAGTAATTTGACTATTTTATTTTATTTTATTTTTTAATTGACTTGTTTATTGTTATATTGATTCTTTACCCAATTAAATCTCTCTCTCTCTCTCTCTCTCTCTCATGCCCTTTTTGGATGTTATTTGAAGAATAAACGGGATAGATTTTGAGGAAATACAGGTAGATGTCTTGAAAGGCCACCAATTCTCCCCTGAATATAAAGGTTTGTTTGATGATACCTTCTGCATTCATTAACTGAAGCAAAGGGTTTCACCTCACGACTCTTGTGTTTATGCAGCAATAAATCCCATGCGCCAAATTCCTGCAATAGTTGATGGAAAATTGAAGCTGTTTGAAAGGTTCTTTTTGCATCTTTTACGTGATATTCAATTCCTCAGTATCTGCTCATCGATTCGTTTGTTTTATGCTGTGATTTGTAGTCATGCGATTCTTATCTACTTAGCTTGTGCGTTTCCAGGAGTAGCTAGTCACTGGTGAGTCGTTTGTTTATTTTAATTTTAATTGCATGAATTTATTAGTTCGTTACATGCACAGGTATCCTGGTGATCCAGCCGAAAGAGCTAAGGTCCACTCCGTTTTAGATTGGCATCATTCATATCTTCGACGTGGTGCAGGTGATGAGTAATTAAATTAATTAGTAGTTGTTTTTAAAATTATATTTCAGTTATCGCGAATGCTCTTTTTTTTTTTTTTTTTTTTTTAAATATATATATATACTTTCAGCTGGACTTGTATTCAACAGTATCCTGGCACCACTAAATGGCATGCGTTCATACCCTCAGATAATCACTCAAGCTGAGGAGATTCTGTTGAGATCTTTGTCTAAATTAGAAAATTTTTGGTTAAAAGATGGAAGCTTTTTGGGTGGAAGCACTCAACCTTCGATCGCAGATCTCAGTTTAGCATGTGAAGTCATGCAACTTGAGGTAATCTAATCATACAAAAGCTTCAGTTATGGTCTGTTAATTGTAACTAATTCTATTTTTGTTTGTGCTTAGCTTTTGAGTGAGGAGGATTACCATCGGATATTAAGCCCTTACAAGAAAGTGAAAAAGTGGATTGAAGACACAAGGAGTGCAACTGCACCTTATTTTGATGAAGTTCATGAGCATCTCTTTGAATCCCAAAAAGGATTTCGGGAGAAAATGGTGACACATTCTGGAAAAAACAATGCAAGGTCAAAGATGTGAGATGACACATAATAAGGGTTTTTCAGATAACTTGATTTGTCTATCTGAATGAATTTTCAAATATGGGTTCGGATATCAAAATTCCCATCAATGTAATTTTATAAACATCAAGTATGAATAAGTTATAAAACCAATAAATGATTTACGTATAATAAAAAATTAAAAACCCATGACACCATATTAAAAAGAAATAACAAACAATAACTAAGTTAGGGATGTCAAAAAGTTCCGTGGGACCCTGAACCACTATGGGGTCCCGTCCCGTATGGGGGCATTCGTTGATAAAAACTTATACGTATTAATGAATTAACAGCAACCATGTTCCTTGGTTTTAGTTAATTGCTATCCACAACAGTATAGCACCAAAATTGCAAGTTTCACTTTTCATTCCTAATTGTCGACTCAAATATTAAATCACAAACTGAGGGAAATCTTAGTAATGATAACATTTTTCCTTAATAAGTAATAAGAATATCAGTATCGACGTATCCATCTCTTGAAGAATGAATCCCAAGTTCCAATGCATATATTATACTGCCACTACACTCTTGTGAGAACATGGACTCATGGGTGTCGTGTCTCTAACACATAAGATATCAAAGATCTTGTCCAAGTTGAAAATTTTAATTAACTACTAGATGCATATTCATTATTTAATCAGCTTCCTCAACTTCAATACTTCAAACTCCAAAGATATGATCTGTGCATGCGCCATTAATTGAATATTCCTGAGAAAGAGAGAAACTAGGTAGGTAATTAACATGGTGCTGAAAGTATCTGGTCATAGAATTTCTGAACCATCTCGTGCAGTTCTCATCTTCTGCAAGTAATCAGTCTATCTTCTTTCCTCATCTTTTCTGCTAATTTCTGTTTGTAAATGCTCTTTCTATCATCTTCAATTCCTCGATAGTTTAGTAAATACCAGCCATTTCGTTCTTGAATTGTGATTGACCACAAGTATTGAAGTGACTAAAAACCCTTTTTTTGGTATTTATTTGCGCAAATTGAATTAGTTTTTTTTTTCTTGAACTTCTGTTTGAAAGCTATACGCTCTATAATACTTTTGATTTGCATCGTTAGTTAATTTCGGTAATTTGTTTTATGTTTACTTGTGTATCTGTAAATGAATATATGTTGGTTTATTAATTGTAGAATAGATTCTTTATCCAATAATCTTCTTGTTGACCTTTTTGATGTTAATTATTTGAAGGATAAACATGATAGATTTTGAGGAAATTCACGTGGAGGTCTTGAAAGGCCAGCAATTCTCCCAAGAATATGGAGGTTTGTTTGACAACTTTTGCATTCATTAACATAAGTAGTTTGTATCAAGATAAGTGATTTAAGAACCTCTGACAAATCGATCTTGTTTTATGTAGCAATAACTCCCATGCGCCAAATTCAAGCAATAGTTGATGGACATTTGAAGTTGATTGAAAGGTTCTTTTTGCATCTCATGATATTCAACTCCTCAATATCTATCTATCTATCTATCTATCTATCTATCTATGGATTCGATTGTTTTATGTTGTGATTTGTAGTCATGCGATACTTATCTACTTAAGTTGTTCATTTCCTGGAGTGGCTAGCCACTGGTGAGTATGTTTTCTTCTTAAACTTCACTTAGCTCCATGAATAAATATATAAGCTTAATTATTTCATGAACAGGTATCCTGGTGATCCACAAAAAAGAGCTAAGATCCATTCCATTTTAGATTGGCATCATTCTCATTTACGTCGTGGTGCAGGTGATACATAGTCTTTTTATAATATTTTTGCAAATTGTTGGCAAAAGATAAGATTTTAAATCATAATTTGGTTTTCAGCTGGACTTGTATACACCACTATCTTGGCACCACTATATGGCCTTCGTTCATTCCTTCAGATAGTCATTCAAGCTGAAGAGATACTCCTGAAATCTTTGTCCCAATTAGAAAATGTTTGGTTAAAAGATGGAACGTTTTTGGGTGGAATCTCCCAACCATCAATTGCAGATCTCAGTTTAGCGTGTGAAGTCATGCAACTTGAGGTAATATTATAAATTAAACTCTACAACATGTTACAAAAAGCTTCAGTTATGTTATGTTAATTGTAACTAAATAGTTTTTGTGCATAGCTTTTGAATGAGGAGGATTACTATCAGATATTAAGCCCTTACAAGAAAGTAAAAAAGTGGATTAAAGACGTAAGAAGTGCGACTGCACCTTATTTTGATGAAATTCATGAGTATCTTTTTGAATCCCAAAAAGGAATTCGTGATCAAATGGCAACACAATCAGGGAAAAAGAAAGTGAGGGCGAAAATGTGACACCACTTAACCTTGTTCATTTAATGAAATTTCTCAAAATTATGTAACCATCATTAGATGTTAATTAGCTAGGTTATACACAAACACACACAAATGCTTTAGCTACATGGTAGAGTTGTGTTTTACATCGAGTATACTCACTTTTTTTTTCCCACACATAATTCGGGTAGATCGTTCTTTATCAAATAGATTGATGTAACAATTGGTAACAGGTCAAAGTCCGTCGGTCAAACCATCGTAAACACCTCTGTAAAATGGACCTATTGTGTAGTATTCCTTATTTTTTTAGTGCAATTGAAGTCATTATACTTAAAATTGCATAACGAATACCTTGAAATTTCTTAAATTTCCCGGTCATTAACTATTGGAAAACAATTCGCAAAATGAGTATTAATGAATGCCCTAAATACAAAACTTTTGTATTAATTATATTTGAGAGCTATTGATAAGTTATTTGAATGGCTTATGCTCACCTGATTCTGTGAATATAAAAAACATCCAAAAGTGAGATCGTACGAAGAAATTATACATCTTTCAAATTATAAAATCAGTATTTATCTGATTTTTCTTAAACGAACTTTGCATTGCTTTGTTTGAAATAGCTACGAACATTCTAAATTGTTTTTGAGCAGGTTTTTAAACGCATATTGTGGTCTATTATTTGATTTCATTTTTATGGCATTTTTAATCTCGAGAAATATTGAATTCGTAGAATCTATCGAATCGGAATCAAAAATTGCGAAACTTTAAATGCTATTTCCCAAAGTTTCGTATATCGGAATTGAATTCCGTCTACATTTTTTGAACCAACACAACCAGGAAAATAAGCAGAAACTTTTAGAAAAAAAAAAGTTGCATGTCGAAATTTATTAACACGAGAATCAAAAAATGGATAACAAAGCAAAAGTACATTGCACATGTTTATAACCCAAAATATCTAACCAAAAAGTCAATGATGACTTTTCAGCCGTACTTCATTGAGAAGGAGATGTGCACTCCATCTCCCTCTCTCCAATTTTCTTTCTCTCTAATCTCTAACCTCTCTTTCTCTCTCTCTCTCCCTCTCTCTCTCTCTCTCTCTCTCTCTCTCTCCTTTTTTCTAAATATCGACAAGACACCTCGTGCCAGAGGTGATGTTTCCAATCACAATGAAGACAACAATCCTCGTCCTCTTCCCCTTTCTACTATTGATCACCAGACCAAAACACCCCCCCAATTATTGATGTGCTATCTTCGATACGACCCCTCCCTTCGAGGTTCATTGTCGATAGAAGAGGAGCAACAGAGAGTTGCCAGAGCAACCCTTGCTGCCATGGTAGTCGATTACAACCCTGGTGTCACCTTCGTTTCCTTCCTCCTTCGAACATCTAAAAGCACCAGTGGTATTTTCCTGGTTCACCCACTACCCAACAACCTCCTTATTGTTTTCCCATCCCCTCGATTTGTGGCAACCAGCGACGAAGCAAGAAAAACCAAGGAGGGCTCACCAAAGATCGGTTTCCTCTCCCTTCCTCACGATCTCTTAACTACCATCGATCCACCCCATTGTTGTTTCATGTTTGTTCTTTTTCATAATTGGTCAAAGACCGGAGATCCTCCCCCCCCCCCCCCCCCTCGCGGCTTGTAGTAATTTGACCAAAACAACCCCTCATTTGTAGTTGTTGACCAAAACAATCCTTTCATTTATATAGTATAATTTGTTACAACAAAAGATTAAATTATTACCAAACAGTCCTCTATATTTTAATTTGTTATAAAACAGTCCCAAAGTTGTTTCAAAATTCAAGAGTTGTAGTTTTGTGGTTTCTTACAATAAGCTTCACAAAAAGGAACCTGTATCGAGATCACGCAACTAGGGTGAGTTTCTACGGTCCCTCTTTTGTGGTTTTCATATTTGAGGTAGAATACATGTGTGTTTATTGATGTTTTGATGATTTTCAAGTTTTCATATGTTAAAATGCCTCATAAAATTTTAATCTTTGTTGTATACATGCACGAATATGTTAAGAAAATGTGAAAAGACATTATACTTATAACCAAAGTTGTCGTTCAACATAATTATGTACAAAAATAAAATACATTTCCTAAATTGATTGAAAAACAAAGTTTGAACACTTACATGATAATTAGTTGTAAAATACCAAAAATCAACTATTAATTATTAGGTGAGAAATTAAATATTCTCCTACATTTTATTCCTACTTATCTTCCTATCAAATCAAATGTTGACATGCACATTTAATGATACATTTAATGAAATTGATAATATTTTAGTCCACTTGTCATCATTTAATATCGTAAGAGTATAGTAGGAATAAAATATAAGAGGATATTTAATTTCTCATAATTATGAGGTTATGTAAAAATGAGTTTAAAATAAAAGAGACTCAGTCAACAACAATCGACGCCAACAAAAATTTAGTCAATAACCCATTTGAAAACAACAAAAATCAAACCAAACCCATAAAAATCTTCAAAGAAATCAAAAACCCATCATAAAAATTTGATCATGAAGGTATTGCGTTAGCACTAATCAAAAACCCATTCAGATTTGTATTTACAAGTGAAACTCGAATCCATAGACTATCGGAGTAGAGGTTACTAGAGAGTAGATTCAGATCGGAGAAGAATTGAAGCAGATTCAAATCGAACCAAGATCGAAAACTTAAACCCAGATCGAACTATCATCCTCTGCAATTGGAATTGATTTGGACTCTCCTCTTCTCCTTCTCCGGCAGTGTCTCCATCGACGATTTGGATTCAAAGAACGGAGAAGAAACAAATTCAACGTTTCCAGCTGTTAGAAAAAGATAATTCTAAAAAGGGTGAAAACAGAGAGGAAAGCTTTATTCTTTTTATTTCATGAAAGGATGATCACACCAAACTGAACAGGAATAATATTTATAATCGATGTGAAGTATTTCAGAGGTCTCTTACAACCTAACATCTTCTTAACTGCCACAAAGCTTTAAATGAAAGAGGTAAAACAGGTGAAGAACTAAATGTGGGGAAACAAAAGATCTCATGCGTCAACACTCCTCCTTAAGACTTTTGCTGTAACACCAAGTTTGGATCGAAGGAACTTAAACTTCCCTTTTGGCAAGGCTTTGATTAGAATATCCGCAAGTTGAAAGTCTGAGGGGCAATGGACAAGCTTCACAAGTTTTTCCTGTTGATCATCTCGAAGTGCATAGAACTTGACCTTCATGTGTTTTGTTTTGCTGAAACAAACTGGATTTTTTGAAATGGAAATGGCTGATTTATTGTCAACAAACACATCAGTAGCATAATTTTGCTTGAATCCCATAACAAAGATCTTCTTCAACCATACAGCTTGATTAGCAGTAGCTGAAGCTGCAATATACTCAGCCTCTGCAGTGGACTGAGCTACAACTTCTTGTTTCTTGGAAATCCACGAAAATACTCCAGAGCCAAATGAGAAGGCATAACCTGAGGTGTTTTTCATGTCATCTTGGGAACCACCCCAGTCACTATCAGAATAAGCAATTAACTTCGGATCAGAACATGGTTGATAAAGAATTCCATGATCAGTAGTACCCCACAAATATCTTAGAGTCCTTTTTGCAACACCCATATGAATTTTACTTGGCTCATTCATAAACCTTGACAACATGCTTGCAGAAAACATTAAATCTAGTCGTTTTGCTGTCAAGTATAACAAGCTTCCAAGTAAGCTCCTGTACTGTCTAGGATCAATCTTTTTGCTTCCATCATTTCTAGAATACTTTTCATTTAACACAAAGGATGTTGCTACTGCTTTGGAACACTGCATTTTGAACTTCTTGAGGATATCTTCTGCATACTTGGTTTGGGAAATAAAAATCCCATCTTCTGATTGTTGAACCTCCATGCCAAGGAAGTAATTCATTAAACCCAAGTTAGTCATCTCGAACTTCTTCTTCATCTCCTCCTTGAATGTAAGGATCATCTTCGAATTATTTCCTGTAACAAGAAGATCATCGACATAGAGGGATATAATAAGCAAATCATTTTTTCCTTGCTTCTTTATGTACAAAGTGTGCTAGTTTTTGCTTCTCTCAAAGCCTTGCTCAATGAGATAAGAGTCTATTTTACTGTACCAAGCGTGCGGGGCCTGTTTTAGGCCACAGAGAGCCTTTTTCAGTTTGCACACCTTCTCTTCTTTCCCTTCAACAGTGAATCCATATGGTTGTTCGACGTAAATATCTTCCTCAAGTTCGCCGTTTAGAAATGCATATTTAACATCAAGTTGAAATATTTTCCACCTTTCTTGAGCTGCTAATGTGATTAGTGTCCTTATGGTGTCATGTCTGGCCACAGGAGCAAAAGTGTCTCCATAGTCTATACCCGCTTGTTGTGAGTATCCTTTAACGACCAATCTAGCCTTGTGTTTACTGATAGTTCCATCAGGGTTTAATTTAGTTTTGTAGACCCATTTCACGCCAATCACCTTTGGATCTCTTGGCCTATCAACCAACTCCCATGTTTCATTTTTCTTTATCATTTTCATTTCGTTTTCCATAGCATCTTGCCATTCTTTGTGTTTTGAGTCTTCATAATAATCGTGTGGCACATCAGTATCAAAGAAACACCTCTCACATTGTTCAACATCTAAGTGAATAATTGGACAGTCTTCATATACATCAGAAAGTGATCTTTTACCTCTAGGACCTGTGGCATTTTTTGAGTTTGAACCCGATGTTGGTGAGTCTGCATGTGTAGGAGATGACGGAGGCGTATGAGAATCAGAATGCACATCATTGTTGTTAGCCTCATATGATTCTTGAGGTTTTTGTTCATGAGGAGGATCATAGATTACATTCATTTTTTTCAAGCTTTCCCTCTTCCCAATTCCATATTGCATCTTCATCCACTTACACGTGTCTACTCACGATGACCTTCTCAGTGTTTAGGTTATAAATCATGTAACCTTTTGACTTTGAGTCATAAACAATAAAGATCACCTTTTCTGACTTTTCATCAAGCTTGCTTCTTTTCTGGGACGGAATGTGAACATAGCAAACTGAACCAAATACTTTTAAATGTTTTGTTGTTGGCCTTTTCCCATTCCATGCTTCAATTGGAGTTTTTCACATGAACTGCCTTAGTAGGTAGTCTGTTTACAGATATACGGCTGTATAAATAGCATCCGCCCAAAATTTCTTTGGCATTTTCTTTTCTGCGAGTATGCATCTAGCCATTTCCATGACGGTTATGTTCTCTCTTTTCGGAAACTCCATTTTGTTGAGGTGTGTACGTTGCCGGTCGACGCCTTCATCTTCACAAAATTTATCAAATTCCACCGCAGTATACTCCTTTCCTCGATCAGATCTCAACATTTTCAACTTGCAACCACTTTGAGTTTCAGCAAGAACTCTAAACTTCTTGAAAATGCTAAAAACTTCTGATTTTTCCTTCATGAAGTACACCCAAGTCATCCGACTGAAATCATAAATGAATAAGATGAAATATTTGTTCCCATTAATAGATGTTGTTCTTTGGGGACCACATACATCTGTATGCACGAGGTCTAACTTTCCCTTTGCTCTCCAAGCTTGTCCTTTCTGAAACGGTAGTTTATGTTGCTTCCCAAGTTGGCAAGGCTCACAAACATCTTTTGAAACATGGATCGAGAAAGTCCCTAACCATACCCTTCTTATGTAGGTAATTTAATGCACGTACATTGAAGTGCCCGTATCTTCTGTGCCACAACCAGGTACTTTCCATATTAGCTCTGTTTAATTTCTCTGAAGGATATTCCATATCAAGGGAAAGCTTTTATTCTCCACCACAACTTCAACAATCTTTTTCTCTGCAGGATCTTTTATAGTTCAACGGTCATCCTTAAAAGAGAACCGAGTATCCGTTCTTAATCATTTGAGCCATGCTAAGAAAATTCTCAACAAGATCCGGAACAAGAAGAACATCATTGATATATTTCGTACCTTCATTTGTTTCCACAACAATAGTACCCTTGCTTAAGGAATAAGGACTTAGAAACAACTCCGTTCCCCATACGCACCGGCACTTTGACAGAGTAATCCAACATGCAAAAGATGCTTGAATTATTAGTCATATGAGATAAACCAAATTTCTTTGTTGCTCGAGGCTGATGCTTGGCACACACAAAACAAATAATCTTCATCCATGTTGGTACTTGAGAATTGCGCCTCTGCCTTGGACTCCTTTTGCTTTTGTCTACAATCTTTTTCGACATGACCATATTTCATGCAATGTCGACATTGAGGTTTCCCTTTGAAATAATAATCTTTTTCTGCATGATTTGTCTTCTTACAAGTTCCACAAGGAGGAAATTTTCCTTTTGATTGTACATGGAGCTTGTTTTTTATGATTTTCCCTGGAATCTCCATAACTTTTCTTCTTCCATAAATTCTTCAATTATAGTGGGGATTGTATTGTACCTGTTGGTCAATGTTGCAAGAATTTTTTGCACAATTCTTGCATCAGAGATGTCTTCTCCGTAAGCTTTCTTTTGGCTTACAACTTCAAGTAATCTACAAGTGTAAACCTTTGTATCTTCATTCTCCTTCATTTTCATACTTTCAAAATCTTTTCTTAGATAGCTTAGGCGAGCGGTTCTTACTCTCTCATCCCCTTGAAACTCCTCCTCAAGGGATTGCCATGCTGATTTTGCAGATAATGCTCACATAATTCTAGGAAATATGGTGTGTGTGACAGCGTTAGGTATATAGTGTCTTTAAGCTCATCTTCCTTCAACTTCTGTAATTGAACTTCATTATACTGGACTGCTTCATCTTTTTGTTAAAAGCCAGTTTCCAGTATCTCCCACAGTGCGTTCGCTTTTAAGAAGAGCTTCATTTTAATGCACCAGTATTCATAAATTTCTCCATCAAAGACACGAGGTGCTGGTGTAGAGGATGTTATTGCAGATGTACCAACCATTCTTGCAAACTGAATGGATTTTCTGGCCCTTAAGATCCTTGTTACTCTGATATCACTAATTGTTAGAAAAAGATAATTCTAAAAAGGGTGAAAACAAAGAGGAAAGCTTTATTCTTTTTATTTCATGAAAGGATGATCACACCAAACTGAACAGGAACAATATTTATAGTCAAATGTGAAGTATTTCAGAGGTCTCTTACAACCTAACATTTTCTTAACTGACACAAAGCTTTAAATGAAAGAGTTAAAACAGAACTAAATGTGGGGACACAAAAGGTCTCATGCGTCAACACCAGCGACGAGATCGTCACCATCGTGTCAGTTCAAATATTTAATCACAAAACTGAGGCAAATCTTGTAAATAATATATTGCAAGTGTCGTATCCATGCCATTTGCTGAAGAATAAATCCCATTATACTTCCTACACACTTGTGAGAGAACGTTGACAGTTTTGGCCTCATGGGTCACGTGGCACATAAAATAATCAAAGATCATGTCAGTGTTAAAAAAAAAAAAAAATTAATTCCTGGATCCAAATTAATTATTAAAATCAGCTTCAACTTGGATACATCAAGCTCCAAACATTTGATTTGATCTTTAATTGATTCCTGAGAAAGAGAGAAACTAGCTAAGTAATTAACATGGTGCTGAAAGTATATGGTCATAGAATTTCTGAACCATCTCGTGCAGTTCTCATCTTCTGCAAGTAATCAGTTTATCTTCTTTCCTCTTAACTTTCTGCTAATTACTATTTACATGAAATTCCCTTTCTGTCATCTTCCTCAATATACATATAGTAAATAACCAACCTTTTCCTTCTTGGCTTGTGATTTGTGACTGACTACAAGTATTGAAGCAATTAATTAATAGATTATTTTGAGATGAGTCAAACATGTTAAGTTTAATTCGGGCCGGGTTATATATATTTCTATAACAATTTAATTAATAATCTTTTTGATGTTATTTGAAGGATAAACAGGATAGATTTTGAGGAAATTCAAGTGGAGGTCTTGAAAGGCCAGCATTTCTCCCCTGAATATAGAGGTTTGTTAGTTTGTTGCACGCCTTTTGCATTCATTAACATTAACATGAGTAGTTTGTATGAAGATATATAAGTGATTTAACTTTTTAAGAACCTTACAAAATGTTCTTCTTTTATATGTATATGTAGCAATATTAAGTCCCATGCGCCAAATTCCAGCAATAGTTGATGGACATTTGAAGCTGTTTGAAAGGTTTTTTCCTTTGCATCTCATCTCATATATATTCAACTTCTTACTATCTATCTATCTCGATTTATTTGTTTTATCATTTATGTTGTGTTTTGTAGTCACGCCATTCTTATCCATTTATCTTCTTCGTTTCCTGGAGTGGCTAGTCACTGGTAAGTCAAACTGTTTTTTCTTAAGCTTCAATTAACTCCATGTATATATATATATATATATATATATATATATATATATATATATATATATATATATATATATATATATATATATATATATATATATATATATATAAACTAATTAGACAAATAGGTATCCTGTTGATCCATCCAAAAGAGCTAAGATCCATTCCATTTTAGATTGGCATCATTCATATCTTCGACGTGGTGCAGGTGATAAATAGTTTTCTTTATGATATTTTTGGCAAATAGTAAGAAAAAAGCAAATTTTTAATTCATAATTTGGTTGTCAGCTGGACTTGTATCCAACAGTATCCTGTTACCACTAAATGGCATCCCTTCAAACCCTAATATAGTCATTCAAGCTGAAGAGATACTCTTGAGATCTTTGTCTAAGTTAGAAAATGTTTGGTTAAAAGATGAAAGGTTTTTGGGTGGAAACACTCAACCATCAATTGCGGATCTCAGTTTAGCATGTGAAGTCATGCAACTTGAGGTAATCATATAAATTAATGTTACAAAAAGCTTCAATTATGTTATGTTAATTGTAACTAAATATTTTTTGTGTTTAGCTTTTGAGTGACGAGGATTACCATCGGATATTAAGCCCTTACAAGAAAGTGAAAAAGTGGATTGAAGACGTTAGGAGTGCAACTAAACCTTATTTTGATGAAATTCATGAGTATCTTTTTGAATCCCAAAAAGGAATTCGAGAGAAAATGGCAACACAATCGGGGAAAAAGAAAGTAAGGGCCAAGATCTGAGATCACTTAATTGACCTTATTCATTCAATAAAACTTTTCAAGATTATGTAACCATCATTAAAATTTTAATTACCTACATTAAACACAAACGCATACATCTTAGATGCTTCAGCTACATGGTAGAGCGGTATTTTACATCGTGTAGACTTTCAAATTTTTTTTTTTTTAATATATATATCTTCCATGCATAATTGATATAGTTCATTGTGGATCAAATGGATTGACCTCAAATTGTATTAATTGTGTCCAACATGTAACATATGAATTGATCTATTGGGATAAAAACATGTTCCTCATGGAGTGAAAATAAAAGGCAAAACAGATGACTTTAATTAACCATCAAACATCAACCTTGTATATTACTTTTTACAAATTTCCAAAGAAAATGCAAGATCTTACTTGCTTTTTACAACATTTATAGAAGAAGATACACAAACAAATATGTTTACAACTTTTGGCTCCAAAATACATGAAATTGAAACAAGGTGAGTAGGAGTTTCATGATTCCTTTTAAACTTGTTCATCTTTATGATTGGGCAAGATAAATATCAGAAGGGGACAAAGTCCCAGAGTCATCGACATCAAGACTCTTGAACTCTTCCAAAATAAGCAAAACGTCTTCTTGAGTAATTTTTCCCATTTCTTTCAACTTAAAAATCGCAAATTCAGCAGCCCTACAATTTTTTCCAAAATAAACTCAATGAACAATTATAACAAACAGAATCATAAAATGAAGCTACAACATACCCGACAACCCCATCATCATCAAGATCAGCTGCTTCAAGATCAGCAGCTGTTGTTCTTCTTGTAAGAACCCATTTCACCAATGACCTCTGTCTAGTTTCAGTATACAACTCAGCAAAAGCAAACAACAATTGAGCTAAACATATGGTACTCATCAAGATCCAAAATATAGCAAAAACACGTCCATATATTGTTGAAAAGCTCTTATCTCCATATCCTAAAGTTGTAATGGTGGAACAAACACAGTAAAGCGCATCAACAAACTCCATTTTCTCAACTGTGGTTAAAAAGATTGTCCCGGAAGCTATGAGGACGATAAGCAAGATGGACAAGATTATACATCTGTATTTCACTCTGTTGGTTTCCATTTCTCTTAGGGTTTCCAGTGCTCCTGCTTTTTTACGCAAATGAAATGCTTTCACCAGCAAGATCTCTTGATTTTCAACCAAACAGTCTGCGGCTTTACTTAGAATGATTCCGACGAGTGCCATTCCGGTGAATACAAAAGCACAGGCGAGTAGTTTTGTGGTGGTGCTGTTTGGAAGAAGGTCGCCGTATCCGACGGTGGTCATTGTTACGATGCAAAAGTAGATCGAATCGAGAATGTCGTTTGTTTTATCTCCGGAAATCTGGTTTCTCATGAGGTAAAAGCAGAGTGTGCTTATGCTCAGGTATATGAATAAGTAGATGGCTACCCTCGTGAGATGTGGATTGATTTGATCAAAGATGGATTTTGGGTTTTCTATCAGGCGTTCGATTTTGGATCCTTGTGGAAGTTCGACCATGGGGGCGCTTCTGCAGCGTTTTAACTTTCTGCTTTTGGTTGAAGCAAAACAATCGGGCTGAGGTTTATGTTCGTGTTCGAGTGTTAGAAATGGCTCGTTTTCACCATCGGACACCATTGTAGCGCTTCAAAGAAGTAAGAAAAGGATTATCAAGACAAAGTTGTTGAGAATCAGTTAATTTTCCACCGGAAGACCAAAATTCAAAAGATGATACTACTTGAAGCATAAATCGAAAGTGGAGAGTAAAAAATCAAAGACGTTGAATTTACAGTGACATGAAATTCATATCTATTCCAGTCCAGATGTAAGCCATGGAATTGGAATTCCGAAAAATCAAGGAATAGTGTAACTAACCTGTTAAATGGATGAGGATTCAACGACTGTGAACTGAATTTTGCTAACAGATTCCTGTAGAGATCGGAGTTGGTCAATTGCAGCAATGTTGGAACCAGGTAGTGATGATTGTCAATGGCGGATTTGGGGCAATACCGTGTTTCATATCAGCATTTGTCAAACTTTATGGCAAATTGTGTGTGAGTGTGTGCGTGGTGGGGGTGCGTATTAATTATTATTAAAAATGATAACGCAATCACAACAATAAAATGATAACATGACAAATAAACATTAACGTTTATATCAACAAAGTAAAAATAAAAAGTAGATCATTTATATAGGTAGATTGAATTTTTATAAACTATAATAATTTAAGTTTAAAAGTTAAATACACAATAATATAAGTAAGAAACTAAAAATAGAGTACTTGTCGAAATTCTTCTTTTTATGGTTTTTTTTTTTTTTTTTTGGAATGATAATAAATGCATGGACGAGTTTAAGTAGAGTGTAGGTGGGTTCCATGACCAGACCCATCTAATTTTCTTTTAATTTATTTCCCAGTTATATAAAAAAAAATGTTAGTATAGACTAAAAGACAAGGATGTCATATTTGGTCGACTCCAAAGTGGTGGAGGTTTAATTACAAACAGATGATGTCTTTTTCATAATTCCACATTATTAACTTTGTAGAGGAAATTATGCAACTTGAGGTAACCATATAAAATCAATTGATATGTTATGTGAATGTGAATGTTTTTAATCACAATCCATCTATCTTCATCTTTTTTCCATACCTAGAGTAAAGTTTCTTGCTATTTCATGTAACATATTTCAACTTGTAGTACTTAATACACTACTCTTAAACAGATAAAACTATTTTTATCCTACATATATACATGTAAACAAAAACACTAATATATTTACATTCAAAGTTGAAAGTTCAAACAGTTGTTATTCCTTGAATCTCCAAAGTCTCAAGAATCCTAGGCCTTCTATAATTCCTCAACAACAAAGAGCAACAAACAACACTCACCGAAGACGCAGCCATAGCAGCTCCGGCAATCCACGGTGGCAATCGGAATCCCGTGAACGGAAACACAACTCCGGCCGCAATCGGAATCCCAAGAAGGTTATACCCCAAAGCCCAAATGTAATTCAACCGGATTCTAGTAAACGTTTTTCTCGAAAGATCAATCGCAGTGATCACATCTTCTAGATTACTTTTCATAAGAACAATATCAGCCGCTTCAATCGCGATATCCGTTCCAGCACCTATCGCCATTCCGACATCCGCAGCAACTAGAGCGGGGGAATCGTTGATTCCGTCTCCCACCATCGCCACAACAAGCCCCGAACCTTGTAGCTCTTTCACTTTCTCTGCTTTGTCCTCCGGTTTGGCTTCGGCGATTACATCGCTGATTCCGACTTCCTTTGCAATGGAATTGGCGGTTCCCCAGTTGTCTCCGGTGACCAGTAGACTTTTGATTTTCATGGATTTGAGGATGGAGATGACTTCACGCGCACCGGGTTTTAACGGATCGGAAATGGCGAGAATTCCGGTGAGTTGGTTGTCTATGGAAACAAGGATTCCGGTCTGGGCTAACCCTTCGATTTCTGTTAGGATTTCTTCTGCATCAATGGAAATAGGGATTCCATTGTTTAAGATTAAGCTCTTGTTTCCGACTATTATTTGTTTGTTGTGGACAATGGCTTTCACACCATGTCCAGTTATGGATTCAAAGTTGTGTGCTTCTGCCCAAATTGGATTCTCTTCATCGTCTCTAAATTTTTTGGCATATTCCACAATTGCCTTGGCTAAAGGGTGTTCACTGTTCACCTACAACAACAAAAATATATAATTTTCTAAAAAAGGAAAAAATATTATCATTTATCAACATTATATAGAAAAGGTACCTCAGCTGCAGCAATCAGTTCATAGAACTCTCTAAGCACCATGTTCTTCAAGAGTCTTGTGTGAACAACCAGTGGCTTCCCAATTGTAAGAGTCCCAGTCTTATCAAACACAATACAATTCACCTGTGCATAATTTACTCCAAAACAATCAGAAAAAAGTTTTGATGTTTTTTAAAATGTAAGTTTTAAAAAAAAAATAACTGACCTTATGTGCACTTTCTAACGCTTGCCCTCCTTTTATAAGAACACCTTGAGAAGCCCCAACTCCAGTCCCAACCATGACAGCAGTCGGAGTTGCCAACCCTAAAGCACATGGGCAAGCTATAACCATAACAGAGATTCCAAACTGTAAAGCAAGCTGAAAGCTATCCATGGAGGATGGAATCCAAGATTCCGGATACCCATTAAACTTTCCAGCAAAAAACCATGCAAGAAAAGTGGAAAAAGAAAGAAGAATAACGAGAGGAACAAAGAATTTGGAAATTCTATCAGCTAACTTTTGAACTGGTGCTTTTGCCATCTGTGCTGACTCAACAAGTTGAACTATTTGTGAAAGTGCACTTTCTGATCCGACACGTGTCGCTTTAATATACAAAACCCCGTTTTCATTCACTGTCCCTCCAATAACTGTATCACCTTTCCTTTTTCCAACAGGTCTTGCTTCACCTGTGATCATGCTCTCATTCACATGGCTTTGTCCCCATGTAACAAATCCATCTGAAGCTACTTTTGCACCAGGGATGATTTTGATCACATCGTGTCTTTGAATCAACCTGCTGTCGATCTCTTCTTCATTTACAACATTCCCTTCAGTGTCAAAAGTCAACAGTGTTGCTGTATCAGGAGTCAGGTCCATGAGCTTTGCAATTGCTTCAGATGTCTTTCCCTTTGCTTTAACTTCCAGATACTTTCCAAGAAGAATGAATGAGATTAACATTGCACTTGTTTCAAAGAAGTCGGTTGCTTCAAAATGTGGTGAAGCTGCAGCTCTTAATACAGAGTAGACTGAATAGAAGTAGGCTGCGTTTGTTCCCAATGCAATCAGAACATCCATATTTGCAGAACCATGGCGCAATGATTTGTAGGAACCAGTGTAGAATCTTCTACCAATGAAAAACTGAACAGGGGTGGATAATATCCATCTTAAAAGATGGCCTACAGTCATCATGTTGACAATCTTGGTGTCAAGTCCGTGTTTGAGTACAGGGATGTACATGAACACCATGGAGGTTAAGAACACTGGAATTGTGAAAACCAAACTCCATTTGAAAGATTTGTAGTATTGATTGATTTCTTCTTGTCTATGAGAATCCCTTCCGTTTCCTTTAGGAAATATCTTCGCCTTGAATCCGGATCCTGTTGATTCGATTACCTGAATGAAGTTTCTAGGTCCTGTTAAATCTGGTTTGTAAGAGAGGGAACACTTTTTGAGATTGGTATCAATTTCAATCTTTTCAACTCCAGGAAGTGCTTGAAGAGATTCTTGGATGATTCGCATGGAACCATCATTCCATGGTCCATCGATTTGTAAATGTATTTTGCTCACGTCTTCTCCTGTGCTAATCAATATGGCTTCGAATCCAGTGTCTTCTATGGTGTTTAAGAGATGGTCATGACTTACAGTAATGGGATCATAGTGGATTTCGGCTTCTTCTGTTGCTAATGCAACTTGGGCTCTCTGTACTCCATGTACAGATCCCAGAGCAGACTCGACTGTACTTGAACAAGTTGTGCAAGTCATTCCTTTGATGAGGATTCGACATACTTGAGTCGATTTTTCATTTGTTTCCTCCATGATCAGTGTAGCTTCGAACCCTACATCTTCAATGGTTTCACGAATAGTCTCCTCCTATTAATAGCAAAAACGAGAAACAACCATTAACTTTTGGTAAAATGATGAATCAACCACTCGATATCAAAATTATTGTTATTCTTCATCAGACTAATACACTCTAATTCCATAGATCTGGAGTAAAATTGCAAATTAGTAGAAAAAGCAACGATCATCATCAGAATTTAGTAATTGAAGTCTGAGAAAAAGGCTAGCTAGGGTACAATTGATTGACTGTATCTAATTATCAGGAACGATGAAACTTACATTGACGAAGCTAGGGTAAAACATGACTTGAGCTCGATTATTCAGCACATCAATAACAGCCTCCTTGATTCCCGGCAACCGCTTAACGGCCTTCTCCACCGATCCGGCACAAGCGGAACAGGTCATTCCGGTGACAGAAAACAAAGCCCTACGCTCCGATCTATCCATATCTGCCGACATCCCCTTTGGGTACTTTGGCATAGACGGATAGTGCGGCCGCGGTGACAATCCTCGGGAATAGCCATCACCGGCACCGGTGCCACGTATACACGCCAGTGATAAAAACTTGGTCGCCATTTTAAGCTTAATCTCTACTCAAAATTCGAAAATTTCTTCACCAACAACCATCAATCCTTTTGTGTAAAAGCAAATGAATATATAAGTCTGAAGAAATGAAAATGTAAACGGTGATTGCGTAATCGATGATCTATGTGGCATACTAACGCCAACTACGTGGCCCCATATGCGCACTCTTTTTGCGCGGGTTTCATATGAATTTGACTTTATCTTTTCAGCTACGTATTTATATTTGCTTTTACGAATAAACCATAAAGTTATATATTAGCTTTTTCCAAACCATTTAAAAAAAAAAAAGTGTTCTATGAGCAAATGAACCAAACCGGCTAGGACCGGTGAGAACCAAACTCGATTCGGGAACCGAAGTCGGCCGAAATTAAGAACTGGGACCATTAGTTTTACCGGTTCTTGTAGTGTTTTCGATGTTGGAATTGGTCCTCGAGAAATAGCAACATACGGTTCCGGTTTTTGCCAGTTCCCGGTTCTAAAAATTCACAAGAACATCGTCCCGATCCCGGCCCGATCGATTCTATCCGGTTCCGGTTTCGATACCGGTTCCCCGGTCTAAATGTTCATCCCCAATTCAATGAGCTTTTTCAAACCTAAGACTTTTATAAATAGCTTGTTGATAGCTCTATTTTAAACATTTATTTTGTACGCTTAATCTCGTATTTGTACTTATCTTTAGTTATTGTTTACTGCATTTTATCAATAAATTAGGGCACTTATGGTTTTAATCCGGAATGTGTGATACTTCGTTATTTTGAATTGTTTTGTAAGCATTTTGTTTGCTATTTTGAATTGTTTTGTAGGCATATTGTAGAGGCAAGCATTAAGCACGGAGCATAGAGCATAGA